ATTTCTATGTATGTGGAAAATGTAGTTGATTACCAAAGGTTACAATTTTTATTTTGAAGACTGCATGGTCTAGGAAGTGTACATTTTTTTTATGGGGCAAGTTTCCAAGGGCGGGTTTTCTAGGGGCGAGTTGTCCCTTCAAGGCTAGGCCTATACCATCCTAGCTAGTCTAGGCCTAGAGTAGGATAAGGCTGGCGCGACATGCGGACATTAGTACGAGTAGGTTAGTCTACAAACGTCGCCTAAAGTAATTGGTTTTACCCGGCAGAACGAAAGAAGGGAACTCCGCTTTTCAGTCGTCTTAGGCAGTCGTTTTTTGACAAACAATGACCTTTCAGAGGTCAAATCGCTGTCAAGAATATGAATTGGCTGCTTCGCAGCAATGATAAGAGGAAAGCATTTACAAAATGTTGTCTACTTTCGTTGTCCAAACTGTCTTAAATGTGATGGATCGGACTCCAGGGACTTTCCTGGCTGGTATGGATATAAAAACTTTATCTGCACTCCAAAAACCTTAATTTTATACTACTGAAGTTTGGATAAGGTTCTACAGCAGACAGAATAGAATTGTGTTGTGTATGGAAGTGTTGTGGTTTCACAAAAACAAAACAAAATTGTTACCTCACTGGATACAGTAATCCTTTTGCAGCTTCGGATAATAGACTAACGTGTGTACAGTACAGTAGAGTGAAACCATTATTGGCTCAGTTCCGACCAAGTCAGGGAAATATTTAACGATGAAGAAAATAAAATTAATCCACCCGATCCATCCCGAAATAGGCAACAATACTAAATTTCCCAGTACTGTAAAGTTGCCTAGTAACATTTGAGTAAGAAACGCTCCGCAAGTAGGTTCCCACCACATTGGCACGATACTCCATTATTAGAATCAGACACATGGTCAGTCACCTAATTAGTTTGATTCTTTGTACGCCGCCTATTCCAATTCAAGAGCGTAAACGCGCTACTGCCGAGAAAAGATTGTTCGGTAAACTAGGCTACCATAAGATTATTTACTGCTTTGGTTTCCATTCCATGTTTGCTTTTTGGTTGTGCGTTGTACAAATGGGGCATGCTTTGGCCTTTCAATCCAGTGGAAGGCTGCTACAGGCCTGATTAACAGCGAACGTAACCATGGGGACGTGAACTTTTTATAGGCACTTTAATAGCTAATCACTTTATCAGTGAACGAAATCCCGCATGCTGAGGTTAGCATGCCATAAAAAAGTCAATTTTTGAACTATAATAATTTAAAAACTACTGAACGTAATTCATTATAATTTCGGATCCTGTATTTCACATATCTCCTCTCTAAATATTGAAAACGGCATTCAAAAATATTGTATAGTTTTCCCGTCATCGTAAAATAAGTGACGCTCCTTCATTTCATTCCCAGTTCCCACTTTCCACTAAACTCCGTGTGTTCGTATACAACGCTCCTTCGGCACCGCGTGAATTACGACCTTTGTAAACAACGTTTCTCTGCATGACGTTTTGAAAAAGCAGAATCCGGACATTGTGATTGGTCCTAACGCTCCCATGTGATCGTTTTCTGAGAGATCCGATCTTAAACTTTGTTGTCATCTTTGTTCAGAGAAAATCAATTCATTTATTGATATAGTACAGCGAGTTTAAAAAGTTCAATAATTTTTTTTGAGGTCTAAACTCAACCGAATCGTTTGTGAACAAGGAATGTATGAAAAAATATTTTATAGCTACTACGTGACGTTATTAAATTTGAGAAATAATTAATAATGAACGGCGGCTAGAGATATTAAAATGTGTCTTTCAATTGTGTGTGGCGGTCGGTGCTAGGCCCTTCGCCGCAAAGCGTAGACTTGGTACAGTGTAATTATAC